GAAATCTGGACGTTGAAGCGAAGATCCTATGGCTGTAATCGACGGTGGCGACGTGGCTAGCCTGAGAGGCGGCCAAACTCTCCTGCTTTGATATATAGAAATGTATGGGCGCCTATAGCTTGTTTCATTTTGTGATGAAAACCTATCGCTTGTTTCATTCGACGGGGCCAAAAGACAAAGCACATGCTACGGATTATGGGTACAGAACAACAAAAGTGTTTCTGGATAACTTTTGACTTTCTCAAGACGTACGCAGACAAAGTTTGGATTCAGAGGTGTTCGATGTAGGGGCTAAAGTTTAAGAGGTGTCATATCAGATGTTATATGGGGATGTCGTGAAGTGTTCGGATACTAATAAAAAAATAAATTACAGAATCCGTCCATTTATTAAGCCTAATTAATCCGTCATTAGCACATGAGGTACGGTAGCACCATATTATCAAATCATTGACTAGTTAGACTTAATAAATTCGTCTCGTAAATTAATCTCAATCTATATATTTAGTTTCGTAATTAGTCTATATTTAATACTCTATGTATGTGTTTAAATATCCGATAAAATAACGAGTAAAGTTTAGAAGGTGGAACCAATCACCCTCGCCCGCACATCCACCGTACCCATCAACCATCATCAACTGCACTTCGTTCGTCCGTTCGTTTCTGTGCTGCTTTTGGGTTTGCTTTGCATCTGGCTGAAGCCTTTTTGGATGGACACGGTCACAGGGCCCCGCGATCTGTGTTGTTAGCAGCAATGTTAGGTTCCGGACTCGATCCATGTTTTGTCTAGTAGGAGCGCTACAACTCCACTTGAGCAGCTAGGTTCGTTTTACTTCAGGCCCGGCCCACCGTGAAAACGCGGTGTCATGCATGCATGCAGATAGGCTGGTCCCTGTTACCAGCAGCAGCTGGTTCGTGCGAACTGTACACATGGACATGTGACCTTGACCCATCGCAGCAGCAGCACGTACAAGGTCGGTATGGTAATGCAAAAGCCATGGTCCTTGACTCCTTTCTTGTTCTGTTCCCCCTACATGTGCGCACCGCCGCCTGCTCTTGCACGGGAAGCATGCATGCATACTCCAAGTTTAAATAAGACGTACACGCAGAGGGGTAATTCACATCCATGAACTGTCTTCTATGTTCGCTTCACCTATAAGCCATATTTTTTCAGCTAACGAACAATATTTTTCTCTCACAATAAATCAACTAACAATACTTTTAATTATGGCAGCCAAGCGAACCGGGCATACGTGTATAGCGAGGACCTGCCTGCAGCTGTGTGTGTGGTGGGGGTGTCCGGCTCCGGCGCGGTTCCGGGCCCCGCGAGGATGGAGCAGCTGTCCCGGCGCTGGCCTCCTCTCATCGCAGACGTCGGTTCCGCTGCCAGACGGGGCCCGGGAGCGACACGGACATGTGAGCTCCTGCCTGCGCTGTGCGCTAGCGATGCGGCGGTATGAGGGCGACGCGCAGCGACCGACACGAGCACGCGCGCCGCGCAAGCCCCCGGGCGGGCAAGGTCCGAGTCCGACCGACAGATCGATCGATCTGCCGTCGCCGTCGTGGCGCAGCCGCGAGCGCTCCCGCCCGCCCGCCCGTCCGTCCGTCCGCCACCGCCATATGTGCATCCCAGCCAGCTGCCAGCCTGCCGTGGTCGACTTCTTCTATCCACTCGCCGCCGCTCCCCTTCGATGATCTGCTTCCGGTCTGGAGATGATCGGAATGCGCCGACGACGGGATAGGATAGGAGCCGCCCGCAGGCGCGGATCTCACCGCCGTCGTCTAGTTCCGCGGCCGCGCCCGGCCACCAGCGCGAGTTGCCGTGGTATCCGTGGCTGCTGTGGTCCCCGCGCGCGGGCGTATGTGCGTCGACGAGAGTGATCATCATTCGTGATGTCGTTCCAGCTGTTGTGATGTGCGGACGGATGCGCGTCGTACGTGTAACGTGTGGTTTTGTGTACGGGTGCTGTCGCTCGAGACTGCAGGGACCGTGTCCCCCTGTCTCCCTCTCCGGCTCTCGGCCGGTCCGCCCGCCTGGACCGCGCAAGCCGTGCTCGAGTAGTATTTCAAATGCCAAGGCCATGGGCACGCCAGCTTGATCGCCGAACAGGAGTACAGGATATCTGGCCGGGACCGCAGCGGACGGAAGAACCGAAGATGGTCCATGGGCCATGGTGGTGGAGTAAATGCTGACCGGTCCAGAGTCCAAGCGGGAAAGGAACACGAGGACCGTTGGAACATACGGACTAGAAGCGATCCGGGCCTAGAATGCAGCCCACTGCTAGTCCGCTTCAAACAGATGCCGTCTGTCGTCCTGATCTTCTCGTCCCTTCCAGAGCGCTACAGTTGAGAGTGGCGACTAGGGGCGATCTCGTGTTACCCCGTTGATTCGCCGTCGCCCTCACCTTCATCACCCTCGCCGGCGTCGTCGTCGGAGGGGGGCTGGATGAATTGACAGAGGATTTGTATATACCCGTACTTATTAGGTTTAGGTTAAATAAGTTAGGGTTAGGTTTCCCCATGTCGACGCTGTGGCGTGGGTTCGTCTTCCTGGGCGGCGTCTCCAGTGGACGTGCGGAGGACGGCTCCGACATCTACGGCGCCTTCCCCGACTTCGCTGGTGGCGACCGTACCAGTGAAGAGCATGAGCTGGCCGGATCTAGAGTTCTGTGCCTCCTCTAGATCAGGTCAAGTTCGCCTTTTGCCTCTCCCTCATCTTCTCCGGCGAACTCCTCTGACGAAGATCTCGGGAGGTATGTCTATCGACTCGCCGTGAAACCGGGTTAGTTCTTACCTACCACCTGCTCTGGTGGTTTCATTCCCCCTCTGGGTGTGCCGCCATCCGGCGTGTGGGGATTGCTGGTAGCTCTTGAGGCGCCAGATTCCTTGTACTCCAACGATGCGATGGCTAGTTGCCATCTTCTTCGGCCTGGGTGTTCTGCGGTCACAAAGTATGTCGATGATTTTGACATACTGCTTTTGGTGCCAATTAAAGCTTGTGTTCAATCGTCGGGGTGGAGGTCGGCTTCAAGCTCCAAGTTGCTTCAAGCTTCAAGCTCCAATTAAAGCTTGTGTTCAATCGTCGGGGTGGAGGATGATCCGGAGGATGACTGTGCAAGGACTATGTTGTAATTTTTCCTTTCATCAAGGGTGTCTTTTGCAAGTCTTGGAATGTAAACTTTTATGAAATATGTATGAATACAAACCCGGTTTCTCAAAAAAAAGTCATCTGTCGTCCTGAAAACAGTAGAGTCCAGAATGGGCAAGGCTTAACCTAGCCAAGCTGCATTGGCCAACGGCATACCGCTTACCGCGCTCGCTAATGGCTACTGTATTAAAAACTCCGAATACTGCACGTACTCTGTTGTTCTGAACTTTGCAATTAGGGCGCCAAAGATTTGGCAAGCCAAAAGTTGGGTAAAAAATTGCCATAGATTTGGTGAGCCAAATGTGAGAATTCGGTAAGTTTTGGTAACAAACCAAATATACTAGCAAAAAATCATGGCTTACCAAATCTTTGGCATGACAAATTTTGGAAGCGAACCAAGCAGGCCCTTACTTTTCCATGTTTGTATGGAATACGTACACAATATGCCAAGAAAATTGATAACAAATTTATACGGTATACTTTCAAACTACTGATGGTCAACGATAATGTTTTGTCACAGGCGTCCCCCCTATCCAAACACCGTGCGACTCGCTCCGCTGATCCCCGTGGTCGTCCCACTCCCCCATCCCACACCCAGCGTGACTCACTCCTCAAAAAAACACCTGCTCGTCCCACTCCGCCGGCCGCCGCGGCCATCCCCGCGCGCGTTGCGCGCGCTCGGCCGCCTCACACTGCTACCGTGTGCCCCCATCCTGCGCTCGACCGCTCACTCCGCCATCCCACCGCGCACACCCATCCTGCGCCGCGCTGCACCGCATCACATCCACTCCACCTCCGCGCAGCCATCCACTCCTTCTCCGGTCGGTCATCCACTCGGCCTCCGCGGGGCCATCCACTGTCACGTGCCCAATCCGCACTCACCCCGTCATGGCCACAGCGTGCACCGCCACCACCACCTCGGCGCCACCGGGAGAAGGTCGTCGCCAGCTGGGATATCATCTCCCGCGGTTGACCGAAGATACCACGACAGGGAGGACCTGTATGTTGCAAATGCATGTTTCTAGTGTTGTTTCATAAGTACGTTGCAATTGTTTCATCTTGATGTTGCAAAAGTAGACTGGGGGATGTTGCATATGTTGCAAATGTTTCAGAGGCATGTTGCAGGCATTTATTCAAAACATTTCACCTGTTTCTAGACGTATGTTGCAATCGTTCTGATCTGGATGTTTCATATGCTTCACACAAATATTGCAATAATTTGTTCCAAATGTTCCAGTTGTTTCAGTCTTTATGTTGCAGCAAGTTGTTCCATGGCGCAAATGTTTTATTCGAGCATTTTATGTTATTCGGCCGAGGCGCACCGGGGCGAGCCGACCGACGGACGGGGTGCTACGTTCGAGGAGGCGCGCTTGGGACGTGCTCGTCCGCGCGTGGGGCGGGGAGGCGGGGGCGAAGATGGAGCACGTCTGAACGTCCGGACGCTGGTCATTCCCATCGGAAAAAAATGGCACAAAGCTTATACCCAGTTTTCTCGCAAATTTGCAGCGGGGTTTAGCGGCCTGGGCCTGGGCCTGGCGTGGCGCGGCGACAGTCCAAACCCACGAGAACACTGAACACCATGCCTATTACCTACTCCCATCCGCGCCGTCCGTTGCAGATGTAATGTCAATAAATGTCAGCTATTGACGACCATGGTCACTCGCCCAGTCACAGCGTCCCCGTGTTGCTCGCTGCCGAGTGCGGCGACAGGCACCGACGCTGGCTCTGCTCACGCCTCACGCGCACCTACCCCCTCCTCGCCTCGCGCAATCCGAGCGGAGCAACCCCACGTTCCCTCACTGGTTAGGCCCAGGTTTCCTCCTCAGCCGGCGGCGGCACTAGGCAGCTCCTGGAGATGGCCTTGGCGGGGGCGGCTGCACTGCCGCGGCTGTGGGCGCTGCTGCTCCACTTCCTCGCCGTCGCGACCTGCCTCGATGTTCCTTCCCGCGGTAATGCACTACGCAGTGATAACTCGCTTGTCCGAAACAAACAACTTATTGCCACATTCCGGTGGAGCGAGCTAGGGTTACTATTACTTGTCTAATTAGGCCACCGCCGACCTCTGCCATGGCGTTGTACTCCGGCTTTGGTCAGTTAAGAGTAGCTCAACTGCTTAAATTATGTTGTGTTTAGAGTAGCCGAACTGCTTAAATAATGTGGTGTCCCTGAAGGAATGACACCACGTCACCACCCATGTTCATGTGACGTTTACTCCCTTCATCGGCATTGATATGTGGCCCTGAAGCACCAGCATGGCACAATTTGTCGTGAAAGGTTCAGATAGGGGCATAGGGCAAAAGTTTGTGATTGGGTTCAACTCATGCGTGTCAAAGACCAGCCTGATAAATTTGCTGTAGCTGAATGCTAAAGGACTTGAATGATTACTGCTGTGTGCTGGATCTCTGTTTGGCAAAGGCATTGCTGAGAGTTCTGTGTCAAGCCACTAGATTCAGGGGCGAAATAGAGGCCATAGCTAATTTCTATGTGGTATTTTGGTACCAACTAGATAATTTCATCAACTATATGGCCCTGACTACTTTCGTCTAAATTGAATGGAAACCAGACACCCAGCAGGTTAATAACATTTCTTGAAGGGATTCTGAAACTCCAGTGCTGCAGCAAACTAGTCAAATGCATGTCGCACAAGTGCATGTTCTCATTTTATATGCCTATTAAATTTTACAGCATGGATTACTAGTTTATGGCACAAAAACACATGAAGTTTTACCATACTACCTTTGGCTCACGGTGAAGTTGCCAATATATTCAAATTGCAGGGTGCTATTGGACTGGGTGCCAAAGCAAATGGTTTGGAGTATGCGCTGCTCGCCACTTCTTGGATTCTCAGTCAGATGATTGTGGTGGTCTTTGCATGGAGTCGAAAAGCCCTCCATGCCTTCCACTCCACACACATTTCTATTGTTGCAAACCAGGTCTACACATTGGTTTTACTACATTCAGTTCAGACAACGAAAATGGCCATTGTTGCAGACCAGGTCTATACATTGGTTTTAACAGACAACGAAAATGACTATAGCAGTCTGCTAGTTTGCTTGAATCATGTATGGACATGGAACTTAATAGTAATACCTACTCCTTAGAACAATTAGTTTCAGAGTACACATTCTTTTAAATTGTCACTGTACCATTTGGCCAAATTACTCTAGCATTCTGAGACAGATTTTTTATTGTGCATTCTGAAGGACAGGAATCCCAAAGGTAACAAACAAGTGTGGACACTGCAAGAGCAAGCTGGATTTTGGCAAAGAGTTTATATGCTGCTCAGATTGCTCTGATCCAACCATTATGGACAAGAATAGCAAACTGGGTTACTGCAAAAGTGGTGCTAACTTAACAATGCAATTAAAACCACAAGGTGTATTTTCACCACTAAGTCATACAAGACAAGGCTCAATTGCAGTTTGACAGCTTTTACTGCGTGCACATGTATTTTTAATCATTTACTAACTAAAGAGGTATCTGGTACTATAACATTGATAAGGCTATTACTAGTTAAGATGGAAGGGGGAAAGCAAAAGGCTTCTGTATGGGAATAAAATACTCTTGCTTGTTTTAATTGATGCCTGGAATATTCAGTATACGTTAAGTCATCTGTTGACAAATAATCCTGCAAAAGGTTCATGACTTCATGCATTATCATACATTCATAAATAATATTAGTTCAAAATACAAGGTGGGTTTTTATCATTCTTGTGTAAACTCTAAACTGACTATACTGTCCAATATCTTTAGTATGTAAGACAATATTGTTCTACATCTTGTATTGCAAGATTTTGAAAATACTGGTACAAAGCTGGATGGCTCTTAAGAACAGGAAATGTTTGTAACTGTGTTAAACAGAGCTTATGCCTTAATTTGTCTGATGTATTCTAAAATTTTCCTCAGCTGGTTTATTTTCAAAGGTCGTTCAAGTGTTTGTTGCACAATTCACTGCTTCCGCATTTAGTCTGCACTTTGTCTTTGCAGTAGTTTCATGCTCATACTGCTAACCAAGGTCCTATTCCCCTTTCCTTTATGAATCTTTCTATTCCGTATTCCTTGTCCTTAATATATGTTATATGCAGAAACTTTTCACTGGGTTGCTGGCCCGTGGATGACATGCTCCTCTCCATGTGATGGTGGTATTCGATATCGTGATGTTGCTTGTTATGGAAATTTGGATGATAACACAATCAAACACTACCCTGTGGATGATGCTAGCTGTTCAGCAGATGAAATGGTACTTCGAACTATTCAATTCAATTTGGTTGCACCTTAACGGAAATCTGTCTATTGCATACTTTCTTTCACTCATAAAGAGTATCCATTATTTAGTTTATTACAGTCATATCCTATGTCTATTGATATCAAAACAACCAAAAAATAATGTTTGCTATAAGGTTTGGTATGGTTACTGAAAAATCACCTATGTTGGAGCAGGTGTGGAAATAGTACTGCAACAGCAATTATGTCAGATTAGTTAGATTGATTGATACAAATTATGGCAAGCGTAAATCATAGCAATCTGCAAAAAAAAAAAAGAAGTTATTTTTTTCATTATCACATGAATAAACTTACATTGTCGAATAAATAACTGTTCCGAATGCCTGTTCAGCGTTATTAACCAAAAATTATATGTCTTTTGGATTAAGAGCAGCTATCTGAAATCCTCAAATATTTGACGTATAACTGACCTTCTAAGCTTCAGAAACAGGATATGATGTACAGAATTACCTCTTTGTTACATGCTGTATTAAGCATATTAAGTATGAAAAATATGAACTCTATAGTCTAGAGGTAATTTGAGAAAAATGAATCTCTAGAGAGATAATATTTTGTTCTCTAATGTATCAGGAAATTTGGCTTCTCACTGTTGAATGCTTTTTTATTTGTCTGATAGCCTGCAAGACAGGAGGCCTGTAATCAGCAGAGTTGTAGTGATCCTGAGATGACACAGTCAGTGAATCCCAAGAAAAGTGGAATGTCTGGTTGGTTGGTAGCATTGGTTGTTATCCTAGGTCTCAGTGCAGCTGTTGGCATTGCATTTACCAGCTACACTTACTATGTGAGGTATGCTAAATCTTTCCGTAGGGTTACATTGTTCTCTCTCTCTTGTCGTGGATTTTGTGTCTTTTTTTTTACTGTCTTGCTAGAACTCTTGATCCTCAGAGATTATTTGCATGCACTCTACATAAAGTTCATAGATAATGCACAAATGTTAGATAGCAGTTGCACGATTTTTCGGTTTGCATTTCCAACATGGATTTGAATGGTGAACTATATGTAGTTCTGTTTGCATTATGAAACATTTTTGTTCTTTTGGGAAGTCAAGATTAATTGTTGGTGCAATCTGGTCTACAGTTCACGAAAGAAAATTTTCTACATATTTCCAAAGAACATGCTAATGTACTTGTTAATATATATGGAGTCACTCTTTGGTGTGGGTGGGTCAGGTGTTGTTCAGGTTCTAAACTCTTTTAATGATATGCAAATCTCTTAGGCATTATCGGAAGAAATATGAAGCCATTGACTGGCACTACTTTGGTTATTCGATAACCTTGTGAGAGCTTATGCTCTTGCGTTGGTAGGATGGTTGTTTTTTATTGATATTGGCAAATCGTGATACATGCTTTCACGTTTCAACTCATGTCCCAACTCTTTCCCTTCATCCTTTTGTTGGTATTGACAGGAGAACCTCTGGGACGAGTGGTTTTGTGTATGTCATGATGGAAGCTTATTCTTGAGGATTGAGAGGAACGTTTTCCTGTAAGCCTGTGAACAGTCAAGACTGTAGAAAATCACTGGAGTTAGAGACAACCAGTTTGTTCATTCATTGGTGTGCTGTTTTTGTCGTCAGAAATGGTTGTCATCTCTTTCTGCTGATTCATGTGCCGCCGAGGGACTATCCCGGGTGTAGCATGGGAGTCATTGCACACATCCGTCTTGCCAAGGCTGTGAATCTGTCAGGAAGGATGTGTTGATTGACTGACCTAACTGTGGCGTGCTAATGTGTTGTGAATTCTATCATCCTGTTACATACGCATGCCAAAACTAGCGACTATGAGCGAATGCTTATATAGTACAAAAAAGAGGTGTTTTGTGGCACTCAATTGCATGGCAAACTAATTTTCAGGTTCACATACAATATTTTCTGCAATTTTCTCAGAAGGCACTACTAAAGCTTTAGTAGTTCTTCAATGTGCAAGCGAACCGACGTCCAAATTATCAAGTCATTAGCTGCTTGTAAATAAACATATAAGGGCTCCTTTGGATACCCCAATACCGCCGGTATACCCACCTCATCCACGGGTGGTGCGAGGCCCGTGGGAGCGGCACCCCCACCATGATATCCGTCGCGCTAAAAAAGACCTGTGCCTTGTCAGCCCGTTCCCCGTCGATCCGTGGGGGAATGAAAAATCATCTCCCGAGTCGTGTTTCTGTCTCCCATTTCTCCGCCTCGCTCGCTCGTTTCGTCGACTGCCTCGACTCGCAAAGGATGGAGAGGCATGGCGGCTAGGGTTTGAGCGCCGTCACTTCCAGTCTCGTGCGCCACTCGTCCCCATCTCCCTCCGGCCCCGACTCCCTTCGTACCAGTAGTGGCGCGCACTCCATCCTCCCGGAAGAAACGCCGGCGCCCCTCCGCTCACCGCCCCGACTCCCTTCGTACCAGCGCCGCTTCTCCATCCGCCGGGAAGCAGTGCTGCACGCTCCATCCGCTCGGAAGAAACGCCGCTCCCCTCCCCTCGCCATCTTCCGACCTTATCCGAGGTAAAAGCACAATCCTTGTCCTGCATATTCTTGTTTATGAGCTACTGATCTATTTTCCCCATTCATATTAAAGGGTCTGGTTGCTTGTCTGATGTTCTTAGCCCTAGCGTGTACTTGTGAGTTTGGATCTGGCAAGAGCCCCCTAAACCCCTACAGTTTCTATTGATTTTTTTTAGTTTGAATAAATTTTGAAGAAATTTGTATGCTCTCCACCCTACTAGGTGTGAGGAACACAATCCAATAATTATCTGGAAGTTTGAAGCAGAGGCTTACTGCAATTTGTTTAACCTGAAGATCTAACAAATGTACGAAGCCTTCCTCTGTTACCTGCTTTGCCTGCTTTACATTGTTACCTCTCCTCGATTACTAGTTTTAGGTGATTCCATGTGCTGGAAAGTTTAATGCTCTTGTGTAAGTTTTTTATGCCATCTGATAATCAGAGTGCTGGTTTGATATAATTAAGTACTAAGGGGGAAAAAATAAGTCTCAATCATTTCAGAAATAATTGTTGAAATAGCTCAACAAGGAAATACTACTTCCAATTCATATTTTCTCTAATGTGTGAATGATTCTTGTCATTTAAATGGATAATAAGTATCATCTTTTGCTCTGTCTGAGGTAAGCGATGAAGGTCGCTTGATGACTGTACTTTATATCGCTACTAATACACTAATGTTTATGGTTGTACATCTGAGCACAGATAAATAGAGATGGAGAAATAGTTTCTGCCTGTGATCACAAGAAATAGTTTCTGATTTAGTACTGCTACCTGAGATGGAGAAATTAGTACTGCTGAAATTAGTATTGCTACCTGTGATCTAGTTGTCTGATTTCTTATGCATTTAGCTGAAATATTTCTTGTGCATTTGTCTGATTTAGTTTTCTGAATAAGATCTAGTTTAGTTCTTGCTGGTTGCAGCTGGAGTCTAACTTGACCCCTCTGCAGTTCAGTTTATGTTGCAGGTTATAGCTGGTTATGTCAGCTAGCTTAATTATTAAAATTATAAATACATAAGTCGATAAGTCGATAACGGTGGTGTGAGACCAAAATAAATGCAACTGAAATAACCTTGCTCAGTTACACATACTTCATGCATTCTTCGTGCAATCCCCCACAGCTACTACACATACATACCATACGGATACGGCACCATCTTTTTTTTTTTCTTTCTGCAATCTGTTGTGCAGCCTAGCTTGACCGAACCTACTGCTATTGTCAGAGTCAGTTTCATGTGTAGTTTGGGAAAGCCTAGCTCTTTTTTTTTTCTTTCTGCAATCTGTTATGCAGTAGAGCTGAACGTAGCTCTTGGTCTCATTATATCAGAAGAGTAATCTGATAATGTTTCTTGATCATTGCGCCTGCTCAGTGTGTTTGCTTGTCCGTTCTCTATGTGATCCCTCTAGTTTGGTTATACTAGTTTCAAGAAACTGAGAAAGCTTGGCTCTCATCATATTGATAGCTGCTGTAGAGTTTTTGCAGAAGTACAATCACTATATGTCAATCTTAACCATCAGCTGTTTGTTTGTTGATGCAGTTTTGAGGGTGCAGCCATGGCTGAAATCGAAACTATCTCCAGCCTCGCCGAGGCCGGCGATGTCCTGGAAAACAGGGGGATCAATTCTGTTCAAGGGAACAATCAGGTTCAATTTGGTCTAGACGAGCGGACATCCCTCGTAGCTGCAACAAAAGTCAAGGCGAGGACCCGTCCTGGAAGGCTCGGATTCAGGTTGGTAAACCCTGAACTCATGGACTGCAAGTTTCAAACAAAGGCCGAGCTGGACGAGGCCTACGAGCGGATGTTCACAGAGTGCATGAGTGAGTGTGACCAACAGCTAGTCCCTCTGGAAGCCCACATCGCCGAACTGAAGAGACTGTTGGCCCAACCTGACAACGAGATTGAAAATACCAGAACCGATATTATGCAGAGGAACCGAGGATTGCAGCAGGTGCTATATCTCCATCCACCGGTATATCTCTCTTTTCATCCTCTCCCCCTCTTTTCTAAATCGTTTTTCAGTTTGTGTTTTTTTTTCAGTTCTCTCTTTTTCTGAATATTATTTTTTCCCAGTTTCCATTGTATCCTGAGTACGAGTATCATCCCCCTCCGCAACCGCGAATACCGTACCAACCAGCATACACCACTGATCAAGAAAGAGATGATGCAATATCTCGAGACCGCCGTGCTCAGAGAGCGTGGTGGCGTACCAACCTTACTCTGCTGGAGACTAAGAAAAGGATCTTGGAAGGGAAAAGAATAGACCTGGAGAGAGGGCTGAAGTCTGAATTAAAGAAAGCTTTAGAGAGTCAATCTGACCTGGGGGTAGGTTATACCAACTACCATTTTCGCCATTGATAGGTAAGCCTTTGTGTGTTTCTTCTTAGATCTGTTGGTCTTCAATCTTCACTTCTTAGAATCAAATCGAATGGATGGATGGATGAACTGGGTAGCGGTTCTTGGGCATGGCTGCTGCTTTCGATTGAATCGTTTTTTGGATTAGGGCCTGCGGATTTTAGGATGTTTATGTATATGATTATTTGATTTGAGTGATATAAAACACTATGAATTTTAGTATTAGGGCCTGCGGATCCACTTATTTATCTGTCAGTACCTTATGATATTTGAGTGATTGAGTGGACTCATTTTTCAAGGTGATTAAAAAATAGATGAATGAGTTGGAACTTTATCTTTGTTTATCATCCTGTGCAATTAGAAAATATCTTCATCCTTTTTTGTGATTATATATCCTTTGTATCTTTTATGTAAGACCTTAATTTTGTCAAAAAAAGGTGTATCTTTTATGTAAGACCTTAATTTTGTCAAAAAAAGGTGTTTTTGCTGAAGATTTGATGTATTCTCTCCTTTGTAGCCATGTAATTTAAGAAGCTGATAGGTAGGTATAGACTTTCACGCTATTCTGGCATGTATATTGCATTTGTGCTGTTATTGTGCTCTGGCACACATGATGGTTGGGCCCATCATTGTGTCTCATTCAATTTGTGTTTAGCCATCTCTGTTTTTTTTTGAGAGGCAACTCTGTTTAGTTTAATTAGTGTCCGTTTCAAACAGGCCTAATATCCTTTGTTGCCGTGAAAGAAAACAAGCTATTATTTCCTGGGCATGTGTATGTGCAGGCAAATATGTTCTTTACTGTGCATGCAGTGTTTATATCACTGACTTAAATCTACTCATGACGTGGACATGCCTCTGTTATTAGTTCGCCCATGCTTGCAGAATTAGTACGGCTACCTGTGATCTAGTTCTAGTTTTCGGTTTAGAGAGAAAAATAAAGTACTAACACGTACTTTATTATAAATACATAATAAGTAGGCTAATATCTCAGCTTATTCTATTTGCAACTTTCAGATAATGGGCTCTAGGAAGGAGAAAATTGTATGAAGGTAGATTGCTCCAAAGGTAATATTCTTGCTTTAGAATTTCTTTAAAAAGTTGGATGTTCGCTGGTTCTAGGGACGTAGGTGCTGTTAATTAGTGTTAGGACGACGAGCATCGGGACTGGGAGTAGTTTTGTTGGGATAAACTTGTATTGGAACAGAGCATCTTATCCCTGAATGTGATAAGATTTGGGGACTGGAGCAGTTTCGACTGTAATATTATTCATATACAACAGAGTCTCAAATTCAGATTGTGTAATAAGGAGTACAATTTCAACTGAATATTCAGCATCTCATTTTCTAGTGTTTTAAAAATTTCTGTTGTGTGTTCTCCACCAAAATGAAGAAAGAACCTTTTTTCGATCAAGACAGAAACTTTTACCCTGTTTTGCATGTGCCACTATTCCATGAGTGTTTTACCAGCAGTTGTTTGATACAGCCTTTCAGCATGTTGGAACCTGAAAGGAGTCTTGAGTCCTTGAATCTTTCTGTAGTCACTTTTTTCTTCTAGTGACATGCAGCTAATCAATTGACAATTGAGTGAGCATATAACTAGATATTTGGGTCTGATTGTATGAACATTCATGTGGCATATCTAAGATGGTTATTAGCATATTTTTGTTGGCAATTTTAAGCTGCCTTCATGTAGCATATCTAAGATGGCTATGAGCATATTTTTGTTGGCAATTATATCTAAGATGGCTATGAGCATATTTTTGTTGGTAATTAACAGCATCCGATGCTAGCATAAATGTCACATTGCATCAACTAATAGTGTTTTTTCTCATCCAATTGCAGGGTTGATTCTATATGTTCTGGCCTGCTGGTGCTAGTTGTGAGAGATTGTAGTTGTAGTGGATTTATGCCTAGACGCTAAAAAAATCTCTTTGGTTATGTAGTAGGATTAATGCAACTTGTAGTTTTGTCGTAAACCTATGGAGTCTTGTATGTTTTCTTGGGTTGCTTAACACATTCATCTAAAGCCAACGGTGATGAGACGGTGATGAGTCACTTTATGTTAGACAAAGTTTATCTGTTTGGTTACCCTATGAGATGAAGAGTTTGTATGCTCTGAATTCAATGGTGATGAGTAGCTTTCTGTTAGATCAAAGTTCATTTGTTTGGTTACCCTATGAGATGAAGAGTTTGTGTGCTTTGAATTAGTAAATAATTCATCTTTTCTATCTAATGTCTGTATGAGATTATTCATGGTACTGATTTTCCATATTACAATTGCATTTTTGAAATCCTTATTTTTTTTTCTGCGTTTTCTGAATGTTTTTTGGTTGGCCGGGATTTATATCCTGTGTTGCCCAAACGGTATCAGGGAATTTCTCTCTGGTTTTTGTTGCCCAGCCGGAGGGGGGTGGCATGTTCATGGAAGATAATCCTTTGGGGAGCAAACCCACGTGTCTTTTCCACCCCTCTATCCAAAGGAGCCCTAAAGGAGTTAACGAAAGGAATGTACTCCATTCCAAAATAAATCAATTCTTATAATCACTCTAAGTCAAACATATATATATATATATACTCTCTCCATATTAGAAGTCGTTTAGGACATGATTGCGCATACCAAGGAGTGCCAAAGAGTGATCAATTAGAAGGAAGTTTTCCTTCTTTGCCCTTATTAAATAGGCCTGCGGGTGTATCCTATACAACAATTCTTAATAGCCCGACTGGTAAGCTCTCCACGGCCCGAGGCTGGAGGTCCAGGGATCGAACTCCATGGCCGCATTATATTTTTGACCTCTACGTGGATTTTGCATGGGGAATTTGCATGGCCCTGTGCACGTCGCTGCTTGCTCTCGCGTGCACGCTGGCTGGCTGGCTCGCGTTTAGGCGTGTCTGTGCACCCTATGCCGCACAAATTTTTGCCGATGGCGCGTGGCCGCGCGAATATTTCGTTCGCTGGTTGAATTTTTTCGTTCGCTGGTTTGTTTCGCTTGGGCGCGTTTAGGCGCGACATTTTCGTTCGTTTGGCGCGCGCTCACAGCCAGCTGGTCCGACGGCTCGCCTGCCTGCTGCATTAAAATGCCGGTACTACTGCCTTGCCTTGCCTGTTCTTCACTTGCTTGTTCATCCAGGCATGGCTTAGCTTCTTCTCTTCACTTGCTTGTTCATCCAGCCATGTCCTCCATGGCTTCGATCTGAACGTTCGTATGGAGGAAGATGACGACGGCTCATTCTTCAATCTCAACGAGCCTATACTGGAGGACCACAACAACAATGGTAACGTGCTCATTCTTACTCATTTTTCTTTCATTTTTTTGATATTCACTGCATTAACGTGAGGTGATCTCAACTTTCCGGCATAAGAAGATGACGGCCCCAACCCGAATGACGTGTTTGATTTCAACGAGCCAGAATACGACGGCACCAATGATGCCGACGGCGTGTTTGATCTCCAAGGGCAACAAGATGACGGAGTCCAGTGCCTCGATGGACTGCAGCGGGTCGACGGAGTCCAGCCCCTCCACGGACAGCAGCAGGTCGACGGAGTCCGCGGCGACCTCCTCCGAGTCCGGCCCGACGTCGTCCGCGGCGACCTCCTCCGAGTCTGGCGCGACATCGTCCGCGGCGACCTCCTCCGAGTCTGGCGCGATCTTCATCTTGTAGTCCGGCACCATCTCCATCTCCATCTTGGAGTCCGGCGAGGCATCCATGGTGCAGCAGCGAAAGCCGAGCACGAGCAGCGTGCGGCGAACGGCGAACGGCGGCGTGAGCGAGCAGGAGCGGCGTGCGACGAACTACGAGAGGAACGCGATTTAATAAAGGGAGCGGTGGCCTATTAACGTGCGGCCGGGGAAACGAGATCGACCGCGGGCTATTAACGCGCGGCGCGGGAGCCGAAGCGCGGGGGGCAGCAGCGTCCAATTCTTCACTCCGACCCCAGAACGACTTCCTTTGATTCAATTTCTGCGGACGCCAGAACGACATCTAATACCAGTATGGAGGGAGTATATATATAGGAAAAGAATAACAACGTCTATAACACCAAATAAGTAAATTACAAAACATATATCTAGCAATACTAATTGGGTGTTTTGATGTTATAAATTTTGATGTTCTTTTCTATTAATTTGGTCAGATTTAAAATAGTTTCCTTAAGACAACTCTAAAAGTTGTTTTGATTTGGGACAAAAGGAGTGTTAGGCCAAATCTAGACTTGAGCGCTTCGTTTTCAGCATTGCTCGTTCGGGCTTTGAGATAACAATGGGAGACGAGCCTTGCCCAATTAGATCTCGTTAGGTTTTGTGGGATTGAACGTTGCTCGTTCAAGGTTCAGGATAACGTTGGGCTATGCACTAGGGATGAGCCTAGCCCAACTAGATCTTGTTAGGTTTTGTGGAGATTGAAAAGGATCAAGGTGATTAAAGGTGGGTTTGGCTCATGCCATCTTCACCAAAATTAATTGTTCCACCCACTAAAATGAACTAAGGTGGCTACAAAAGGAAGGTTACAAAGCTAAATTTTGACATCCAACCAAATTGTCATCAAAGTTGCTCAAAGTAACTAAAATTTGGCTTGGTTAGCTTTGACACTAAAACAAGCACACTTTAAAATCTTGCAAATCAAAGTCTTTATGATCCCCTCCAATACCCTTGGGGATGGGGTTAACCGAACATGGCTTTAGCATGATCTCGCAAATTCATAATCCCTAAATACAAGGGGTTTAAAGGCAAAATCCCAATCTCCAAAGTGTAAATCGCTAATTCTAACTGAAACCTGCCTTTTGGAGATTGGTTAATGGATTTGGAGATTTATTAGGGTTAGAATGGGATTTGGAGATCCACTTCCATTGTCAGATTGGGTAAGGGAATTAGATATTTATTAGGGTTAGCATTGGGATTTGAAGATTCAGTTCTTTAGAGAGAAAGCCACCATGTAAGGTTGGTTGATTGGTGGTGAAGGTGGTAGGTTAGTAGGATAAATAGATAGAGAGTGACCTATGAAAAAGGT